GCCAGTCAATCAGTCAATCGATTCAGCAAAATCCTGGATCTATGAAAAGCGCCATTGAAATAGCGCGGCCCCTTGTCTGTTGCACTCTCTTGCTAACGATGAAGCAGTTGTGCTCATGTTGGCGAGTCTTCTTCTGACACCAAGGCTCTGGGGCAGGAGCCAGCAGTTAGATATAAAATTATGTTACCAGCAGACAGCCTTTGGAGAACTCCGTTCTAATACTGGTGTTCACTTTCATGGATGTGTCCGGGCTTAGGTCAGATGCGCTTATTTTGAGCTGTCCAGAAGGAGAAATTAAAGGCTGCTACGGAAGTGTGTGATCACAGTACACGCAGATATTCAACACAGAGTCTTGTCCAGTGATCGATCCTCTCCACTGGATAGTTCAGTCCACTTTATCAGCTTTAATTGGAATCGTAGTCGGTTGACTAGTGGGCACCAAGTGTTCACCACCGGGGCCCGGTGCTAAAACGTGGTACCATAAAAAGTACTATTAAGTGGTAGTCTGCGATCGGCATACACTTGAAGTTTTCACTTTCCCCCTTTATTGGTTCCTAATCCAACAGAAGTACCCAATTACCTTTGGCGGCACTAATGCTATGCTAATGCTATGCGTACGAGTTTAGTTACAACCCCAAAACGTGCTCAAGTTGGCAGATTAAGCGCCGATGAGGCCAGATTTGGCGGTCGTCTTGGATTAGACAAGAGACACACGGAGAAAGGAGACGGTTAACCTCAGATGTGTGCTGATCATAGACCGCTCATTTCCAGTAAAAATTCCCGGAACAGCGAAAATCGCTTGACAACGTGGCGCCTACCAACAAATTAACCGCGAAACCAACTGGACCACATCACCGTCAGTTATTTGTGATAATGGTCGAGCACTGCTTGCCACCCTTCTGGAACACCAACTGGACCACATCACCGTCAGTTATTTGCCACCCTTCTGGAACATCAGCGTGGATCCCGAAATTGTACTTGTACGATGGTGCTTTCTCCTTGCGTTTTCAGACCTACACAAAACGCGCTCAACTCGCTTAGCCACTGAGAAGCTAGTGGGGTTGGATATCAAACGAAACTATCAGACCCAGCTTGTTGAACGTCTGCCTCTGATTTAGGAAATAAAAGGCTGCTGAAAAGATATCCAAAGCACTACACAAAGCGGAACTTCTGTGTGCGGTATAACCCAGCCAACCTCACCCAAAAAACGGGATCTCTGATAGGACTGCGTCCTTGCTGGAGGCTCGTGACCGATTTCTCCTGGCCGCATTCACGACTCCACCTGAGGCATCGCCCGATGCCAGGTAAGACTGAGTCTCCGTGCAGACTTAGAAGCTTGGTGGACCCGAAATACTAAAGAAATGGAAGGTACCAAGAATGTTAGAAACGTCCGCAAGCTCTCCACTTGATTCGTTTGACTGGCCCTAGGAAACCTCTCATCAGCGAACTAATCAGAGACCGAAATTCTCCCCGATATGCAGAAAAGCGGAACGTTTGAATCACTACGCGCAGTACTTCGAGCAGTAATTTAGCTGGCCAGCTGTTACCTACAATCCCCTATCGTGGCCTTTAGCATAAGTATAGAACTTGGAGCCGCCTTGAGTCTCAGAAGCGTCCGAGTGTGTCACTGCTCAAGCGTTATCCCGCCGATGACCCTGGCGACCTTCCACTTGCTGTGTTTCAACGATGGCGGTTGGCTCCTCAGCCAGTGCCTGTCTGGCATATTTGTGGCTACCTGGAAGAAAGGGGCCGTCTTAGAACACTGAGGTGAAGAAGAGTAGTGTCCATTTTCAAAAAGGTTACATGCAGGGATCGTGGTAGACACGGAAGTGTTATTTTGACTCTTGTTGTGACAAGATTTCAGGCGTCGTCGATTCGTCGTCCTACAGTGACACGCGGAATCTTGACTTGCGAGAATCAAGCGGTATTTTGACTAGCTAGAGGCTGCGCTCATCATATTTTCACACTCCTTCGGGTATTACAGCAATGCCACGTGATCAGGCGACGCACGATCTCGACATTTCTTAAGTTCAAAGGCCTGTTCGATTCTGTAGATCGGTCAGCACCGCTAACTTAACTTGACCAATAAGGTATGCTCTAGAATTTTGTGCATATAATCCGATCCCTGTATGTAGTAACGGTATTTTCCTCAGTTTATTTCCCCTCCTCCCAAGCTAACATTCACGTCAAAACAACCTCAAAAGGCGGACAAGGTATATTAACGCCCAAAATGAAGTAAAGGACCTGTACAGTACTTTATGTATACAGCGCAAGGGTGCTCATTAGGCGCACAATACCCTTAGCCGCGAAACGTTTGCGAGTGAAATAGAATTTTTCCGTCAAAACGTTGCATTTTGTTGCGTATGTGCCCGAACCAAAATCCATTCCAGCCTACTATCACATCCTTGCAACTAACCGAATTTCATTATCTACTGGAGCGATCATACATCTGGCGAAAAAAGTCTGGTAGGATACTTTCTCAGCACCGCTGACACTGTAGCCGACTAGGACCTTATCAGCGTGTTCAGATAAATTAACAAGCAAAGTAACCAATACAAAATCACAAAATCGCAGTAAGAGAAGAATGGGTAGCCAAACGAGGAATCACGAATGTGTTGATCCAATAGTACACTACACCGATCCAAATGCAGTAACCGGCTGTGAAAGGAAATGTCCACTCGTCGAAATTTCCCACGGATGGTTCCGCGTGAGTGATAAATTCCACGAAAGGAAAATTCTTCACGGTTCGGCAAGAAGTCAGCAGGTCGCACCGGAAAATTGTGTGTTCGTAACATTAAAACAAACGTCGTGATGCAATATGTACGACAGTTACAAAGTGTGGTTTAAGTTCAGGAAGAATGGTAAATGTGACAACGGATTACAGACACTACAACACACGGGGGTGTCTATATTGGGCCGAAATGATTGGACTCGTACTCTGAACACAATTACCTGCCTCTTTTAGTCCAGAAGGGCACACCATAGCTTTCGAAAATTCAATTCCATTGTGCAAATACGGAGAGCCTAGTGCTAGCGCAAGCAACTTTCTGGAACTTCTGGCGCGCTGTGTGCTGCATGGCCAACCGCCATTCAGCCAATAGTGAATCACGATTGGTTGTTTGGTGTAGACTTTCGACCAATTAGATATCGGCTTGATGCCGGACCAGCAAACGTCCCGAATTTTTGGCCAATCTTGTGTGGGATAGGCTTCTCGCTGTAGCAGCGCCTCACTGCGAGCGATAAAGCGGGGTCCGTATGGAATTCCGTCTAACGCTATATTCACATATTTCTGGCCGGTTGGGAGTGTATGTTGAGCCCCCAAAAGCTTCCCCACAGACAAGGATATTTGCTCCCTCCATTCTTGTTCAACTTCATCGTTGATGAAGTGATGAGTGGAACGCTGGACGGTCTTCGAAACCCCGGTGTTCAAATTGTTGCTGGTGAGAGTTGATTTGGAGTACGCAGATGATATCGCCCCCATCTTTGAAGACCAAATCGAGACACCAGCCATGTAGATTCTCAGGAGCGAAAATTTTGAAAAAAAATCACGTTTCTTGAGATGTGCTAATGTTGATAACACATCAACCGAATGTGCACTGATAACTAAAAAGAACTGGGCTCTCTGGGGTAGAACGCTGCTATATCGTACAGAGTCGAACATGCATGGCATTGTTTGATTATGTTGTAGGTGTCGGCATGTATGTTTGTAGTGGGGCTCCTCAATAGTATATGGTTCGTCGTCATGGCAGTTTGTTAAGTATGGAAAAGTGCCTCAAAATTCCGTTACCGGAGATTGTTTGTTTAGGGTTTAAATGGCTCTTCCTCAAAATAACTTTCATGCCGCCGGGTATTTTGGAAAGAACCAACTCTTCAAAAATGCTCTATCCGAAACTAAGAGAGCATGAGGCCAAAATTAACCTCAGGGCCTACTGTTTGTTCCTCTAAGTCGACTGCTAAACCGAGAATTCTTGTCTCCGGGCAACGCACAGTCTATTTGCTGAACATTTCCAGACAGCTCCTGCAGGATTTCATCCTCATCGGGGGTGCAGCTGATTAGACCATTAGTGACCCTAGCTTTTATCTCTGCTAAATCTGGGATGGCTGTTATTTTTGATCCGTCAGTTGTGGAAGTATCTTTGACTAGAAACTCAGTCTGAACCCTTAACGACATAATGAACGTCACGACACGGTCTGGACTTCAGGGTTATCCAGTCAATCCAAATCAATCGAACGAGTGAATTAAGTTCGATACCGAAATCCCGTCTGGTCACATGCGATCATTTATTGATTTTCATACAGGGACAGTTCATAGGCGTAGTTATTAACAAAACGGTAAGATGGCTCAGTGGTTAGAGCGCGAATTTACTGACCAGAACGTCCGTGGTTGGAACCCGACTTCTGCCTCTCGGCTTCTATCTAGGTTTGGGCTACCTGACAGTATCCCGGCCCTTTCTGGTGGCCGGGATGGTGGCATGGCAGTTAGGCACCAAAAGGGCGCTGCAGCTGAACGAACAAACGAATATTACAACGGCTTCTTTTGTCCAGCGTCCAAAAGGCAGCTAATTCTGCTTATTGTTCTGGTTTAGAGAATGGGATGACTTCACGTGCGTTGAATTTGAAAATTCGGACGGGTTCCGTTGGCAATAAATACTGGAGTCTGTGTCACCAGTGTGGAGACATTGCCTGTCTATATTTTCCCCCGATATCTGAGGCAGGCATGAAGATTCCTACAGCAGAGCTACTTTATCATTCGCAGAACAAAACTGATTGGTTTTATTTGAATTGGCGTAAACTTTCCGGAGTAAACCTGGACCACCACCTTGGTCAGTTTCTCAATGAATAGACAGACAGTTAATCGATGCAAGAGTGGTATGATTTCTGGTGCTTATTATCCTGGGTCTCATCACAACTTAGAGCATAATGCTTTGAATTCGGGTAGGTGCATCGCACGTTCGTATGCTTTGACGCATAGGATGTGCCCTTTTTGCTGAGTTAGGAGAATCGGTTTGGTTCGTGAAACCTAGTCGGAGGTCGATGCAGAGGACTGACCTCTAGCAGGTGGGGTGTAAGCACAGGACACTCAGTGGCTTCGATATTCTGACGTCGATGGCTCGATCGGGCGCTGTAACCATTGGAAAGTTGGGATAGATGCTTCCATACTCGATTCTTCCCAGCTTGAAACTTGAGGTACCTGTGTACATCACTGGAATATTGCTGTTCCCGCTGTTGCCATTAGTGATGGCGTTTTCCTTGATCCAGGGTTTAACAAATTTTTTAAATGTGGGTTTTCACAGGCTCCCTTCAACGAAAACTGACAAGCGCGTTAAACGCGCATCGTAACGATGCCGGCAATAATATTTTTGAGACGTTCCTGGTCTTTTGCTTCGGACGACTTCGTGTTTTCCGCTACTTTTGACATTCTGTCGCGAGTCATTTGGTACGTTTCCTTTTCGGGCCCTGCTTACCTTTGTGCGACAATAGTATGCTCATCATGGGGCTTCCTTTTGTCATCTTATCCGCATATAATACGTGCCTCTCATCCACTGTTGCTGCCGTAAGTGTCTTCTCGTTTCTATACAGTTTTGTTAAGGTGTTCTTTGGGATTTTGTTCGGATCGCAGGTCGTGATGGTAATCCTCGACATTATTCTGTCGGCTCTTAGCGGTCGAGGTGGACCCATGGAAGTCTCGAGACGTAAACATGTCCCGCATGTGCTTTCTGCTATATTCCTTATATCCTTTGTCGAAGTGGCTGTGCATTGTGTCAGTATATATACTGCAACAATATATGGGCAATCCTGCCCTCCTCCTGTAAGTTTGTCTTTAGACTTCTGACCGGGTGGTAATGTTATCTTGAATTACTGAGTTTTTCAACCGCTTAGATATATTTGGCTAGCAGAGGTGCTCTGCGACGTCATTTGCGTCATGTACTGTAACTCACAACAACAGAGGAAGCAACGTTCATGTATCAACGAGGGGTACCGAAGCCTTGCTTCACAGTTATCGGGACAGAAGCGTCGTTATTTTGGCTTGGTCGAAATTATCTCGTGCAGCTTTTCTCGAGCAATCGTTGCCGCATCAGTTACTAGGTAGCTTGACTTGGGCAACAAATAGGGCTTTCTGGACAGTATAATCCTGTTATTTCGTGCCGACGCTTAGTTTCAGATGGTGAATGGTTTGTTTTGACACAGTAGCTTGGTTGCTGTCAAACTGAATGTATATGAAGCTATTCGTGTTTCTCATTTAGACCAACGTGTTCATTCTCGTCTTTGTTCGTGAAACCTGTGGCAAATAGCGGGTTCCCGCCGCCAACTATTCCATTATCTTTGAGCCTAAATCACTGGTCGATTATTTGTATGTTTTGTTGGTCGTCCGTCATGTAGTGATCAGTATAAACTTGGAGCAGTAAAAGCCATTAATTAATTAATTTGAGGACTTTTGAACCAGAGCTAGTTGTTTTAACACTTGGCCGGTCTACCACGAGCGCCTGGTCAACAGTGTGATTAACTCGCACCCGGACAGGACATAGCGCCACTTATCTTCTTTTCACGGATGATATATTCATGTGTTGACTGGCTGCTCGAATAAGACCGCCCAGATGAAAGTCTCGTGTGGCTTGTTTTTCTGTCTGAGTTACCATCCTTTGTCTGCAAACCTGGGAAGTATTTTCTTTTATTTACTTGTAGTCAGGTATCAGTATTGGCCACGCGTTGATCTTGACGCCATTTCTTCAGAAGTATGTTCAAGTCAATTACACCGTAACGCTGGCATTAATAACTAGGGAAACGGCTCCACTCATTGACTTTCCCGGTCAGGCGATAAATTAAGAATTCGTGTCGTGTATGGTACATTCTCTTTTCAGAAGCTCTTAGAGGTCAGAGTAGCATAATAGTCAATAATTAGTTCTATGAAAGTTCGCCTTTTCAACCGTTCCCGCCCTTCAGACCTCGTTTATATTAGTATGAATAATAGAATCGTCAACGTTATTTGTTGCGTCCTTGCTGCTCATCAAGGGTATTTCAATATACATGTGTGTGCTCGTTCTGCGTGAAATTCAGAAAAACCATGCTAATGCTTCTTTGGCTAGTGTTCGCATTCCTGACGCAAATAATGTCCCTTGACCAACCACCATCATGATTATTGTTGTTGTTGACGGCAACAACACCCGCGAGCAACATCGTGCTTCGCTGCCACACAACCGCGTCAATTTATTTGAATAAAGCATTTAGTGAAGAGGAGAAATAATGAGATGAGAAGAGAGACGTAGTACTAGGTCGTCAGAAACAATGTACCCAATTTGTCGATCTAGATAGAAAATGATGATCTGAAGGCACAAGAAGGGTCGTTTGAATCCTGTGTTGGATCTGGCATATCATACTCTGTCTTCTTTTAAGGTTCCACCGAATGACGCATAGAAGACAATGCTTTTATCGACAGATGATAATTGAGAATGCGTAGCACATGATCCAGGTATTTCAGCCCGCAGTGTTGGCTACATTCTAGCTACTTTCCTGGCCTTTCGATTGGTTGTTTGGATATGAGTAACCTGATAGCAATTTGACTCTCGTGCTTTCTTTCAGTTGCTTGTCACCTATGCACTAAACAGAGGCCGTAGTTGAGCAGACATATTGGTAATTGTCGTGACCGTATCCGTCGAGTTCTCTCCTAACTCGAGACAATTTGTTCAGGAATACTTGCTTCTGGTGCTACCCGCAGCTGGTAGTCCGGACATAGCATTCATATATGTATTGCTATGTATGTATTTACATATGTGCATCCACATGTATCTGTATCTGTATGTCTACTTTTCCACATTTGCCAAAACGTGTGAGAAATAGGTCAAGCCCATTTACAGGTATGTAAACAGCTTACTCGAGAGCTCAATCTTCGCATATCCGTAGTTTGATGTCATGTAGGCCTTTTGGACAGTGCGCTTTATTGAGCTAGTATCTAATTAACTGTGAATTATAGTAGAGACGTATTGTACTGCTCATAAAGTTTCTGAAAACTTCGACATCCCACGACCTGTCTCGTCCTACTTGGGGCCCGTCAGGTAGGCGCAGTCCTCGAGTTCACGTCAACTTTATCTTCTACTTGAGCCCAAATTGGACATATTTCGACAAATATACTCATCGGACACCAAATTGGTTTTGACGGGAGACTCACCCGGAACCCAGCTGAATCTCTCCCTCTCTTGTTTCGGCACAGTGTGTACAGGCTCATTTTTTGGTGCTAATGTATCACTTAAATGAATAGGGTCTTAGCGGAATGAGTGGAGATAATAGTACGCTTTTTATTAAACTTCAACACAACGGTGTGTCAGTGGTGCCTTTTTCGGCCGGCCTCTCCAAATTCGGTCCCGTTATAAGATATGGGTGGTCGCGTCCACAATCCAACCTAGCATAAAGTTTTCAGCTCAGCAGTCTAGGGAGGAATTGTGGTTGAATAAATCAAGTATGAAGGACTCCGATACATCATCCTAATGACGATAGGTGGCTGAGCTATTCTCCCACAAACCGTCACCTTAGCTCTTGCAAATTTGGGGGCATCATATTTGTTGTAATAACCTATTTTTCTTTCCGTTCTTCTCTTCGATAGTGTTCGTGGAACGTAGCTTCGTTACTACAGGGGAGGGTCTGGAAATTTACGTCTCTTTCCATCGTGCATAAAACCACCTGCACTGTGCTTTTGACTGTGCAATGTGCTTTCTTTATCCATCTTGAAGTTGTTTTAACTGCTGTTGCCAAACAGCATGCTTACGGACGATTTTTTGTTTGTTTTACTCAGGTACCTATCGCGTTTATAGTGGGAAATGCACTTCGGATAGCTCACGTTCTTCTGTGCTATATCTGGCTGATTGCGCACTTCAGAGAAAGCGGGACATTTTGGAGTCAGATAGTTTACGAGAACCAGCCCATGCAGAAAGGCTTTATCCCACACAACGCGAACGTAGCCACAAAACAACAAGCTCACGAAATGCTAAGTCGTTCTATCCGTAGGCGTTTAAGACGTCTGGGTGCACTCGGTAGACCACGTTGTGGAAATGAAGACCGCCAGGAGAATGAGGAGCAATTAGCCATCAGTTCAGCAGCTGCCCTGTTCTCAGAATTTTTCTACGTAAGTTCCACTTGCTATTGCACGAGCCCTCATTCGTATTGTGCGTTTATGTTTATGCAGCGACCGACAATTTTTTCGTCTTATTTTGATACTGAATCACATGTTCCCAACTTTCCTCGTGCTGAGGTTCTACAAAAAACACTTAGAGTTATCACCTATGCATGACATCGCTCTTCCCTTAGAGTTACTCGATAGGTACTAATTAACTCACTTCGTGTTGTTGTTCCTCAATAAATTTAAGGTATCTTCTGCAAGATGAAACTTCGAATATCAGATATCGATATCAGATATCAGATATTCGATATCAGATTGAACAACAGGCATCTCTTGCTCAGACTTCTCTTTTACCCTCTGTGGGTAAGTCTCCTTTCTCCAACGCATGTATACAACCCTCGGAGAGTCGTGCAGCTCAAGCGGATTACAGCGAACTCAGATGCTTTACGCTTCACCTTGGATATCTGGGAGTCCATATTCAACTGCTTCTGGCATCTGCTGAGTGAGAGCTTCGCTCATTCAGAGACTGGATTACACCGAATAGTTTTATTTGCCCTGTTATTTTGACTTACACAACCGTAAACAGTGCAGCTTGATGCAGGAGACCGAAGTTGTCCGTCGTATCACCACACGTTCTGACAGGCGGCTGGTTGGAGGCTAAAAAAGATTGCTTCTAGTGGAGTCTCTCGTCAGTAAAATGCGAAGATATCGACTAACCCTCAAAGAGGCATATTTAGGTGGTTCTTTCGGAGTTGATACCCACCACATAGATAAAGTGGCTACAGTAGTCCTGTGTGGAGCATCAATTAAAAGATTGACCGTTCAGCTTCAGTATCTTTACTGCCATGCCACCTGAAGGAAAAACGAGGGTCGAAACACTGCCAGATTGCCCAAGCTTAGATGGGAGCAGTCGAGATGCCGAGTTTGGTTTTTGGACCACGGAAGTTGTCAGTAAATTCGCACCCTAACCACCGAGCCATCTCGAGCTCAAAGCAGTGACTTTCAACACGAATGTGTATTGTGTCGCTTAGAGGCTTGGTGATAGCAAGCTAATCGTGGACTCAGTTTGATAATGTGGCTATCGAGTGCCGGTGGAAGACACTAATAAGGAGTTGTCGTTTGTTCGGGTAAGACTCAGCTTGATTCTTAAAATTTCATTGGATGAGCCCTTGGAAAGCCTTTGATAATGAATTTATTCTCTGAACCTTTTGTCACCAGTCGAGATGACATCATCAGTGTTTATTTGAGGAATGTGTCGTAGTAAAGCGATGTATCATCCAGTCGTACACAAAGAACACAGCCACCCGAGCTTTGGAAATCCTATCCTAACAACTCAGCCACTGGACCCAGTAAACACTGGGCGTTAGATGACCCGTACCCAATAGACATCATTCTTTTTTTCGAAAAAAGCTCGAGGACTTATTGGGTTGACCATTCCATTGACGTTCTATTTAGTTTCTTCATTTCCACACCTTACTGGTGGTCGTTCCGCATTGAGGTAGCCGGTAATTCTTGTTGTCGAACTCTCGTCTATGCTCATTCGAACGTCAACCTCAACCACCTATTTCAGCGTTGAGTACGTAATGCGTCCTAGACTGTACATAGGTGAATTACCAACTAACTGGAACTTTGGGCGTACCTCATTCAAAGCTATTCAACAACATTAATCTCACTTATGGTGCTATACTTATGGTTGCTACATGAACTACAGGTTGTGAGCGTGCTTCGTCATCCCAATCAATATTGTGACGTGCTTTGATGATGTTCTTTGATGAGGATGATATGTTTACCGGAGGGGCTTTTCCAAAGTTGTAGTGGAAGGTAACGCACAAATAGGTGATAAGAGGCTGGTGGTATGGTATAATGGTCGCAAAACCGTTCTGACAATGTTTCCCACTGCCTCATCAAGTATGGCCTAAAGTTGTTGATTTCATGCGCCTTCATTTGGTTTCAACACCCTTGTTGACATGGCTGCTTCATAAATGAATTTCAAATTCTAGCCAGTACGTGAGTGACAGGTCAGTTGAATATGGTTATGCGATTTGTTGAGACTCCTCCAGGCTAGTCTCTGTAGTCTTATACTAATCATACCAATTGTGTTAGCTTCCATATTGAGTGTTCAAGACAGAGACGTTGATGGAATGCAATCATATCAACAGGGTTTGTTTTGGTAGCTAGGTGAAACGAAACTTGCGTGGCGAATTGTAACGTGTTTATGGTCATGTGCAGTTGATGGGCTCTTGTGACCCTTCACCACTAGGCACCGCGTGTTCGACTGTGTGCAAAACGACTAGAGTAAGTCACGGTCCCAACGGGAAATCATGTTATGGCATGATTTGTCAATCAATATTCCGGTACGACCTACAAGTCTTCCGTTTTTGCACATAAGAGGATTCGATTGGGGTAAGCCTGTCCGGTAGGTAATGTACGCGAACTTTCCCGGAACTTGACTTTGGCTTTGAGTTCACCAGAAAGTTCGGAACATCACTTTCCTCATCCCCAGGTCGTGTGGTAGTTATGGATATGCGGTCATCACTAAAGGTTTCGTTATTCGGTTCAGACGCTCATACTTGGTCACGTGCTGATGCATGCGGGGTCATTCTTGCTAAATCGTGTAAGGAATGAGTGAGCTAACTCGGGTCTGTGTTGCCAGCTGCTGTGAAGAAAGGAGCTCCCTATTGGCCTAGCGTCTGCGAAAAGCTTCACCAGGCGAACCTGCAACTGAAAGAAATACTCGGTAGAAACCGAGAAGTTAGTTAGCTTATTTATCGACAGAATTAAGGTACTCGAGTTGAAAAATACTGTTTGGTGCATCCCGGTCCCTCTACTTTAGCCGGTGAAGTGACTGGAGACGATATCGATTCTCGTATCGGAAGGCCAGGACAGCCTCATGAAGTCAGTTTGTCTGTCAAGAGTATAGTATACACTACGGCGGTATGATCCATGCTGCTTTATAGGTGACCACACCCAGTTTGGTGTTTTCCAAGCATTGACAGGATTTGGTGGAACATCGGGTTAGCAATGCTGAGGTATAGCAGATAGTTTTAGGGTGAAAACCATCTCACAATGTACTAATTTCCTACGTGCCATAGGCTACGCTGTTTATGACATGTACTCCGCATACCAGAGGATCATCTGCCTCCCAGGGCTCCTTTCGCCCACCCCCGTGCCTAATGGAAGCACCCAATTGGTGGACAGTGTATAACCTAGCAAATAATTACGAAAACACTAAGCAACAGACTTAGTCGGATGGAAGACTGTTGATTCCTTCTGAGGGGACTCCGGAACTCAACTCATCAACGATTGGTGACACTGACAGACAGGGCTCAATCACGGAGTCAGTGGCGGTCGTGTATTTAAGTTATCGACTTCAGTGCGTAGCTATCCGATTTCCACATCATTACCTCTCCTGCTCTCCTGTTTTCCAGTGACTGCGACCAACGTTCCTTTGGCATACGGTTTATAGCTGATAAATTGAACATTAGAATGGTTAGTTATCATTGGAAGACCGGACTTGGCTGCCCGATTTTGATACTCTGAAATGGAAACTACTCTTCAGTGAGATTGCCAGGTCTCATTACTGGGGGTCAGAATGCTGCTTCCAATACTAACATCGGCCTATTTTCTGGACCATGGTTTCAGCTTAGTATTATGTATACAAACGACGCAAATGATGGAGGTTTTGTTTTGACCCCAAACCATTAGAGAGTAATATTTTTCTTACTGTTGATGATGTTGAGCGCAACGCTATTAGTAAGGATTTTGTACTTAGTGGCGAGAGTTATAAGTGTTCTCGTGGAGTCCTTCTTTGTTCGTCTTGTATGGTTTATTCATGAGCGTACAAGCAAACTATCCTCAAAGAGCCTGCAAAAATTTAAAAGTTGTTCTATGATCTGCGAGTTGGGAAAATTATGTTACAGCATGATCCTGGCGGTACTTATTGGGGCGTTTTCTTGCGAGTAGGGACGACAGAGAAGAATGCTTGAAGATATCTCTGCTCTGCTATTTGATGGATTTCGAAGGTTTGGTCCACACGACTTACTGGCTTGAGTCCTTATTGTTGAGTCGTGTTATCCTGCGATGTCGTAAGACGGCGATGCTTAAGGAGTGCCAAAAGTGTGTTTGCATCGTGGGCAAGGTGATGGGTGGCTGTCAGCGCCAGCCTTGAGACAAGGGCGTATTGTCGGTGAGCGGAAATCGCCTGGGGCAATGTCGTTATCCCATATGGTAGCAAGTCAGTTAGAAGGACACTGACTTCGTCTGCATTTTGCGTAGAATGACCGGGAATATGTTTTGACCAGCGGCTTGGACTTAATGATAAATCCATTATTAGATTTTCGAAGCCATTGGATTTCACTACTCAGCTTTATCTTGGGAATCGGACTGAAGAAAATCAGATGGTGACTTGATCTTTCGAACAGTTTTACTGGATCATCCAAGTGCCCTCTTTACCTGAGATGGGCGGGCCACTTCCTCATGTCCCTGGTTTCATTTACAGAATATTTTTTATGAATTAATTTGAAGCTCATTCCACTGTCCCATAAGCAGAGCTCTCAGCAACCTAAAAAGTTGAACATAGCATAGATTCGTAAGGTTACAGAAAACCCTTCAATAGTCCACGGCCGGTTTTGCCCTATCTGCCGAGCTCCAAGAAGGCCAGAACTGGTCGTGGGCAGTTTTCGATGACCTTATGCATAGTGTATCATATATATGCAATGTATTGAGATACCTCGTATATCGTACCATGTGAAGCTTTCTGGTGCAGCTGATTCAATGAGAACATAAAAACGGAAGACTCACCTTGGTTTCAACTGAGTCTTCCGTGAAAACCCATTTGGTATGCAGCAGGTGACTGCATAAGTTGAAGGAACAATGTTCCAGCATGATTTAGTGTATGAACTCGCGAATATTGTCTTCGGAAGGTCTATAGCCTTGATGACTTAGTGGTGTGCAAATACTGAAGCCAACGACACGTAAGGCGGACAGCTGGTGATCGTCGAGCAGTTTGTCTGGCAACTTCTACTAGAAACAGTGGTCCGCAGATTCTCTCGTTTAAACTTGAGATGCAGTTAATATCTGCTGCTCAGTCGCACCCCACTGGTTTCTACTATTTCGTTATGGAGGTTCTTTTATATGCAACACACCCTTAAATTGAATTGCACCCAATGCACCTGTTATCTACACAAGTGAGAGTGATTAGTAGGGAATCATGATATTCCAGTGTTGATTGGTAGAGTCTTCGGCCATCCGCTTGATGAACGGTCTGACATTAGGAGTCTAAGAGGTCTCTGTCCCCTCATTCAGAACATCTTTAATCAACTAAACCGCAGTCAATGCGGGATCCAAGTCACAATGCAGAACTTTACTGCTAAATCGGATTTCCTGTACTTTCTCATTGTAATCTTCGTACAGACTATCGTTAACGGAATTACTATTTGTACCACACTTTTCGCACCACTCGCCATTGTCTTGCGCCTTTTCCTCCCATCTCCAGGATGTCAATCTAGTACCGAGCGATATAATTGCGGGTTTACTACTCTTACGATGGCAGACCACTCAGTGGGTCGGTTCCGGTCATCGAGTTCCTTTAAGTGTTATCGAACAGGACACGAAACCTTGCACATTCCCACCAGTTGCTGCTGGTCTTGGAACCAAACAGGTACTGTTCACTGGCACATTCCTCTTTCTAGCCGATTTCGTTATTCACAAAACACATCGTCTATCCGTTGTTGCGGTTCCCTGAAGAACTTGGTTTGAGTTGACATCTGTTGTGTAGTCAGTAGCAATCGTTGATTATTTTTCAGCAACCTTATGCGTAGCTTCTTTCAAGAACTAAAAAAATCATTTCTTGTGGACATCGCAGGATGGGTATCTTTCTGTATCTGTATGTATGAAACAACTGGTTGAAATGAAAGCAAGCAGATTAGTATTGAGATTCTTCATTTAGAAAAAAGTAACCAGTCGTAATTCGTCCGACTTCTTATGGTGCGAAATTTATTAACTCTTTAGCTTCCTCCCCGTCGTTGACCTGATGTTGGCATGTGTCTTAAACTATGTGGTCAGCATCTTGACGCCTGTCCTGCTGACTAGCTACAATAAACCTGTCAGTGCAAAATAGCCGCATCACCTAAACAGTCTTTTTGTGTCAACTTTTCAGCTGCTTTGTGAGTCCGCATTGCCGCATTGTGTACTCAGCTATGCACATCACCTCTAACATCACATGGTCGGTGTCAATCGCACAGTTGTTTGTCATCTGGTTGCTCTTCCCAAGCATTACTTCATAATTCCCCTAACTGGTATTCTTAATTGGTTATCAGCTTGCGGTAACATCACAACTCGGCGACGTGGTATCACAATACTCACTCTCCACTCCTGTGTGGCTCAGTATTCTGCGACTTCAACGAATTTCGCAGATTGGGATTAGCATATACGGCCACTTGTTCTACTGCCTCGAGTCAAAAGGCACACCAGCTGCTCTCTGTCGTCTTTGCCGCCACCTATCTTGCGCATCTTGTGAACACAAGTGAGTAGTATATTTGCGTTCACATACTTAGCTTTTATATCCGTGCTCATGGTCGATCACTTCTGTTTTGACTTTCACTCGAGTGGACATAACATAAATGTCCCTGTTTGGAGCTTTTTTCTCAGGGGTGCCCGTCCTACTGATTGCAAAGTTGCAATGACTGTCTCATTCCAGAGGATTCACATAGTTTGAACAAAAATGGTTATCATTGCCCATTCTTCTCGAATTTCCAACAGAAATCTGCAATTGTTTTGCAGATAGGCTACATGTGGGCTTCAGCAGACAGTCTAGCAACTGTAAGTGTAGGTTTTGCGTGAGTTTATTTCCTATCGTTATATTTTTCAGGATATCTCGCAGTTTAACCTCTTTAAGCGTGCAGCATAGGTGACAGCATGATCTGAACGGTGAAAATGAACGGACTGTTGCGTAGGATCTCACTGTGTTTGATACTTGTCAGCAGGATCCTTGTTGCATTCTGGGTTTGTGGTGTGTATCCCAAAACTTTCATGTCTCCATCTCAAACAGGATATTTCACTCACTGAGCTGGACAATTCGACTGCACCAATTTGATTGCACTCAAATTTCCCAGCTCACTAAAAAAAAACCAACGACCATCTACGGTACCTGAGCTACCAACCATCTCCTGTTTAGCAGTATATTTCATTTCTGTCAACTTTTACTTGACCCAGCTGGGTCGGGCTTCATTGGATTTCGTGGACTACTTGGGCAACGTCTTGTATAGTGGCACCGTTTCGTTTGGAACACTTCGCTTTAGCAGTTGAGGTTGTTCCCCTCCAGTATAGCTTCAGAAGGTCTTCCAAGAAGCCGCCTTACAATCTTGATCACAACCACTGTACGACAAAGTGCACGATTCTTACAGCTGATAACGATGATGATGATGATGGTGATGATGTTGATGATGATGATGGTGATGATGATGATGATCACATTCAGAAATCACACTATGGTCGGCTACTACGTTCATCGGCATTGAAAATCTCGAGTGAAAGTGTACCAGGGTCCTCTTTCTAGAATGCTTTTATTTCATGAAATTTTTCATGGAGCGTGCAAATTCTTATGACACAGTTCTGGTACATTCCCGGTTTTCTAATCCTCTTCGACCCTTGTCAACAAATTTCCCTAGTTTGAGGTGATTTTAGGCCTCTGTTTTCATTTTCCGCAAAATTCCTGAATTCATTTCCCCGTTTTTACGTGGCTCAAGTGGTTAGAGCGCAGACCGGAAGGTCAAGCCCGATCACCATGTCATGGTGGCAGCTTTAGGTCACGTAATCAGGTACTAGAACAAAGTCATACGTACAGACGACCCCTAATATTAGTATACCTGCATTTCCAAGGCACGTTTGACTCGGTTGACTGGTCTGTTCTACTTATCACACTTGCCCATCATATCGTCCTTTGGCGTACACTATGCACTCACAAAGTAAGGACACGCTGTCACTGAACATACCACTCACACTCCGGGGGAGGCAACCGAAGTTGTGGAGCGTTTTACGTTTCTTGGAAGTTGTACTAGCAGATGAGGTCAATGCACGAATCTACACTGCTCTGGTAGCGTTTGCTAATTTGAGACGCCTATGGCGTTAGAGTTCTATATCCTTGGATCTGAAGAGACATGTGTATCAGGCTGCTTTGTTGAATGGCTGTGAGACTTGGCTTATTCGAGCAGCGGAACTGAGACGTCTTCATGCGTTTAATAACCCTTGTTTCAGAACCATAGTTCGTGTGAGTTGTTGCCGGCAAATCTATATCGAGCCAATTAGAAGGTTGTGTCCAGCACTAGAGGCTGTGTTGTTTGGTTGTTTTCCACAAAACAATCAGACAACTGACCGCAACTACCGATTTTGCCCCAGAATATGACTCGCGGTTTGAATTACTTGTCGTCACTCGACGTAGCTCAATCGTGTGGATACTGCTCTCGGTTTCCTACACGTTTGCACTGCTTGATCTCATTAATAAGCAGGCCTTGATGATTGACAGACTGCAGTCTCCTGTGGTGAGCTGTAGAATGTACGGGTAGCCAGCGAACTCGAAATATGGGCACGGGGTTGCGTTGTTTCGCGAGCACTGAGCCTGTTGATCCCCTAGGTCAATAATTTTGAAAGTCAAATCGAGATACTCTCTTGTTTTTCATTGAAACCTCATTTAACTGACGCCAACACGCGTTTTGTAATTTGAAATAATCTTAACTAGAGAAATTTGTGGAATATCTGCCACCTGGATGACCAAACACTTATCCGTCCGGTTAGTCCCATCCTCTCAGTAAATACAAAACACTGAACACAAAACCGAGTGGCTGATTGCAATGGATCTTGTCTGATTCACATAGTCACTCCTGCAACTGGTTGGTCAAACCACCTCGTTTACTGAATAGAAGAAGGAAGCTGTTGTCTTCATCATTATTGTCTCGTTCATGCGAATGACCTCTTCTAACCCTGCCTACACTGATAACTCATGCAGCGAAACAGGAATGATTTTACCGTGAGTGAAAAAATTTGTCGGAACTCATCCAGCTTCTTTTGGTGCTTATTGGTGCGATATGGAACGAAGAGAAAGTGCCTTCAGAATGGGGCTTGTTGACAGTTGTTCCTATCTTCAAAAAGGGTACGCGGACGCGGTATGAAAACCACCGCGGTATCAACCTGGTAGCTGATGTGACATCGTAGGTCATCTCTGGTCCTATCCTTCAAGGCTTGTCTGAACACAAGAAAAGACAGATAGGTGAAAATCAAGCTGTATTCGGTTCTGCAAGAGGACGCATCGATCCAGTTCTCACACTCCGACAGATTCTGGAACAGCAACGCTGCTTACAGCAACCAACAGTGGTGGCCCTCTTCACCTGAAAGCTGTCTTTGACTATATGGGCAGTCAGGCACTATGGCAGTATATGTAGAGCATAGGTGTCCGTGCGGACACTGAAAGCAGCCAGGTAGACCGGGCACCGAGGCTTGAAGATTGATTTCGAGATGACGGAGAATGTCAGTGCCGGCTGACGCGTAGATGTGGTTGCATTCGTTACATCCGAATTCCTTCATTTTGCGTGTGCTTTCTGTTCTAACCCACCAATAGTAAAAGGATGGCACGAGTAATTCCTAACAAGCCTGAAAACTGAGCACTTCTTCAACAATGCACGGTGTACAAAAAACGGTTGAAGCTATATGAAAAAAGCTGCATCAAATAAACCGTAGGTCTTCGTTTTCTTTCATAGCCTCGTGCGCGCATAAACTTGTTCCTCTCATGGAAAAGAGAACCTTTATAGCACACATATGTTGTTTAACGACTCGCTTGCCACCGAACAAGTTGTCTCATATGGGAAGAAAACAAGCCCCGTTGGCTTAGGACACATCATGCATAGTACATGCATGTCAACCGTTTCCATGCGTTTACGTAAGTTTATCATCACGCTTTCCCAGCAAAACAGATAAGGGTACGTTACTTTCCGGAGACCAGCCACTCTTAATAAACGAACATCACGTTGATTGGACGTGCGGGCTACGGTCCAAACGGAGGCATAATCTGAACGTCAGACAATCTGGATCGAGCATCTGTGGCTGGGCGCAACTGACCCCCTCACGAAGATTCTAGCGTGTGTAACATCCTGTGATGATCCTATAGGTACAGTTGTGATGTCTCGCAATTAGTCCTAAAACAATGGTAATGGCAGGGTAACTTGAGAGGGCAGATTGAATACATGCATGAGTCGTTTCATATTCGTAATGATGGTGCTTCGTATGACGTATTTTGTTGCACACTCTAATTTACTGTGCGTCTGAGGGAACAGAAGACAGAGATACAGCAAAAAATATACGGATAGGGCACACCAGTTAGAGTATATATTATAGCAAATCTAACCACAACCTCCCTAGCAGGCCTAAGCATCACCGTTAGCATGCACGGTAAATCATCTCTTGCCTCCATTGTCACCGTACACAATGCTTAGAAACATTGACAGCTATTTGCACACGAAGAAACTGGCAGTACTTTGGCCAACCAACGCCCTCTTTCTGAGGAAAACTCGAAGGCTCAAAGAATTTTCAGCAATCTTATGAATGTGTTACGTAGAAGCATCAATTGGACTAGTTTTACGAGCGACCAAAATAGTCTGGTGTGCACTTTTGCTAGAAACACACAAACCTCAGACAACACAACAGCCCGAGACTAATAGATCCCTACCATCCGTATCCACCTCCCCATGCGTTTACCCAAAGTGTTGTGACATTAGGCAGACCACAAAGCCAACTGTTAACGCTACCTATTCGTATCAGTTACATCAAAACTAATGGTTGCTAAGGTTGTGCAGTAGCAACTGCATTCATGAGATGTGGCATGCAATTCATTTAGGTGTGACTGCACGGAGCAAGTTCGATTGTCCAGTAGCATGGCTGGTTCTGGCTAATAAGCTGTTATAGAACATAATTACTATGTTTAGATGCTAGCATTGGGAGACTGGAATCCGTTCTGGGAATTATCTGCCGCATCAGGCCAACGAAGTCCCAAGCAAGGTAATTGACATAACATGCCATGTTGTGCAAAGAAACGTGCGGAACAGCTTGAGTGCACTGAAACAAGATCAGAGACAAAAACGAGAAGGTTGTTCTAAATCCAACGGCATGCACTATTGATGGACCATGATTGCCAACAAAGGACCGAGCTTGTACTGTATGCAACGTATGGGACTACTGTCGCACACCAAAGTGAGACTTATGCAGGTAGTTAGGTGGGAATACGGCGCACTGTGGTCTGAATTATGGAATTTCCAGAATATCAATTGCAGCGCCCTCCACTGAAAAGTTCAGTATCATGTGCACAGCACCATGCTTTATATACAGGACATTGATTTCGGTAGTCACCTGCGTTTAGCGTTCTACTAGCAAGTCTGGCGATGGCCTAAACCTGGCTTTGTTTCGCTTATGTGATGATGAATAGCATGATGCTTCTGCACGCTGTACGTGCAGATCTGCTGCCCACTTAGTAAACAAGACCATTGATGCAAAATATCTACATGGGTAAATTCATTCCAGAAGCCTCAAAAAACAAGGGGTATTTGAGGCTGGAAGAATTTAAAACCGTTGCTCAGTTTCTCAGATTTTATGGGTGCAACATATGAGATTTTATAGTTAAAAGTAATCATTGGAGCATACTTTCCGAAAAAGGCATACAAAGAGAAGTCCGTCATACAAACACTGCAGTTTTTAGGTTGAAATTTCTGTCGAACATCACTGATGGAGGTGGGCCAAGCAAAGCAAGACTACATGAAGATGTGGGATCGCTTAATATGCAGTATACGATAAAGTTGTGTCTACATATGAAACCGAATGCTTCACGCGTTACACTCTAAAGTAATCTAATTAGATGAAAACATTATAAGGTTGATAATTCATCTGTCGGTCAAGTGGGAACAACGTAGCCAAGTATATCCTTGATCAAGCCAAATAGCTCTATATCTCTTCCAAAGGCCAAAACTTTTATGTGCAGGTAGCTTACGTTTTTCCGGTCTTCAGCCATGCACAAAAGATTAGAAAACTGCGTGCACGAACAACCTGGTGTTCGACAGAGCTGTTCGTTCTTATGATAGTAATCTAGATGCACCTCATGACCTTGCATTGCAGTATTGAGCATCAGTTGTGTACACATTGTGCTGAAGTTCCCCCACTACTTGTCAGTGTGTCAGTCAGCGAACCCATGTGTCAGTTTCAACTGTGAACTTCCAACTTTATGAAAATCCACTCATCTTCATCCTCGTGCTCTACCTCACTCTTTGTTGGATTTGATGAACCGGAATTGTGCACACCAAAGAAGTGTATGTACGTAATTTAGTTTCCACTTTGTCATAAATCGGGCGTTGACTTAAACCTACACTTTTCAGTCTTTTCAATCTTCCTTGCTTGGAATTTAGATACGTTGGATGTTTCACTCCTTGCGGTTGGTTACAGTCGTATTATCATTGATATCTTGTTATCTCTGTCTTTCACTTATCTGTTATTTTGGAAGATGCTACCTTTTTTGAGGAGCTGTTTTTACACCAGTTTTGAAATCTAGATGGTCACAACGACATTGCTATCACTCTTTCTGTTGTCTATCCTCCCTCAAGATCCGGACCAGATGGACCGACCAAAGTAGGATGTTGTCTATGTTTGGGGCACAACTGCGATCTCGCCGCCGTGGTTGAAATGAGTGGCCTTCCTCTGGACAACTTTATCACAATTAGTTTTGAAAATACCGTGAGTCGTACAAGTAAACAGGTTAATTTCCTGCCACAATCATTTAAAAAATGGTCTTGTTACTTATTAAGGAGCCAGGTTTTCTAAAGAACTGAAAAGTTTTCTTGCTCATGAAGAGGCGGTCAGGAACTAACAAGTAACTTTAATAGTGATTTGTTCAATTGGTGGAAAAATCCCTTTTAGAAAATTCCTCCTCTAGGTAGAAGGTCCTCTTCATTTGGCAAGGTGTGAGGTGATTGCTGCTAGCTCGTTGGTGTGGAACTCTTCAAGACTCGACCGATCGCCGGCAAATGACCCTGACGTGGTCACTCACTCCAGTAACTCAGTTTTACCAAAGCAGAGCTTGCTGCAGCGAAGCGACTACTTCAACAGTGCTATGAAGATGACGAACCTGATTTTTTATGGATGGCAGAATTTTAAGATGGCATCTTGTTCAACTACGCGGAAATATATCACCATACAATTTTCTGTTCGAACCCGGGTAGATCCGTTTGATCTCCGAAATTAAGTTGTATAATCGGCCGGGCGGAAACGGCCCATGAATAGATTTTTTCTTTCCTTAAATCTGTGAAGAGATCACGCTTAAGGCTTTGACCTATATGGATGGCGAGCGTGCATTCTGTGGTAACAAAAGACGCACTCGCTTAAACTTCATTGTCTTATTTCTAACAAATTACTCGAAAAGAAAGCTATCTAACGCTCTTTGGAATCTTAGGCGATAATTACAGACTGCAACTATGCAGAAAAAGGTCAAATGAGGTTAACATCATGTGTAAGTTGGTTGCCCTTTGAAAAAAAGTGACAGCTTGAATAATAGGGTGTGAGCGGCAACTCCCATAGGTGACCGATTAAATAAGCCTATAGTTTTGAACGCTTTCGAATTTCACCCGAGATTTTATCCTGTAGTTGCGATTAACCTGTGCTAAAAGGTCGAGAAGCAGTGTACGACTGTTTCGTCCTGGTTTGAAATCTTCAACAATATGTGCGTGGAATTTCTTGGGTCATTCAATCCCACGACCTTCCGGCTGGTTACGGCTGTCACGAAAAGAGTTAACCTCACCGGCGTATGACCGTTTGCTCACCTCCATAACCTACCGAGCTGTACTGCGGATTGTACCTGTGACATCCATGAAGCCTCTCACACCAATTTAGTTACTGGCATAGTACTCTGGTCATCCAGTTTGGAGGTGGGAACATGTGTTGCGACCTCCTCCTGTAAAATGTTGACTGCTGTGATGTTCATACGCCAACCACTGCCGCCTCGCTGTTAGACATTCGAGCCAACGTATTTAGTTGAGGATCCTGATCGTCCTCCGGTTTAGTTCTGGGCGCCCTAGTAGTATCCTAATCCATGTATACTTGGGAATCGCACAACTACAAATAATCTCACATCGGGCGTCGCGCGCTGTAATCAACCAATTCACTGTACTTGCCGCATACAGCGGGGCACATACGTAAAGCACACTACTGCTGACGCTTGCCTTCTCCCTCTTTTACGTATTCCTTCTCTCTTCATTTGGCAGCTAGTGCTATTTTCGTAAGCCGTTCGCCGCTGAGTGTCGTAAACTTCAATATCTAAGTTCACCTCTGTCTCCTCAGCCGTAGACCTTTCGAAATCATTCTCCAAGCTCCAACACTCAAAGCATCTGGCAACTTTGAAATTTCGCACTGGATAACAGGTCGAACGATAGACTGTTCCTAGTTGTTTGCTTAACTTACTTTCTATCGGTTTGTGCTGGCTCTCTGGTGCAAGTGCGCTTTTTGAACCGACTCTACTTCGGTTTGCTCTCGCTTCCGGTTGAGCTCTAGTTATCCAGAAGCCACAGTGGCTGGTTCTGCCGAGGTTGGCATTGTTTTCAGCCATCTAGCTGGAAGTTCTCCGCTTGACTGCATGCCCATTGATGGTCGTCTGTGTGCGGCTCGTTTGGTAACCTATGTGAACTCATCTTGTGGGCGCCTCGATAACTGCTGTTTGTTCATTGTATCTTATTAAGCTTCACAGATCGCGGCTCTGATACCCTCAAAGACTGTTTTTCCAACTATTTGGACGCTTTATTGCGGCGGATTAAGAGTTAGGATATTATTGTGGTTGTCGGTAGCTGCTGAGATTCAGTTGGGTGGTCGTATTGAACTGGAATCGAGATGCACTGACGATAGTGAAAGCCTGTTATGGTTATCTGCTGACGAGATGGATCAGGTGGTTAGAGCGCGGATTTACTGACCGGAAGGCCTGTGGTTCGAACCCAACCTCTGCCTCTCGAATTCTTATGTCTAGGCTTGGGCAACCTGGCAGTATCTCAGCCCTCGTGCCTCCTTCGTGTGGCATAGCGGCCAGGCACCGAAAGGGTGCTTCAGCTGAACGATTTCGATTTATTTTATTTTATGTACTGACGAGAGACTTCCGAAACAACCGACACCGGCTGGCCACGTTACGTTTTCCACATGCAAGCTAATCCTCAACGCCTCGCCATCAGCTAGATGTGACACGTACCAATTCCTGACTGCTCGTCATTCTGTAATGTTCATCTGGATTCTTATACGTTGTTGTCTTGCGCTTTTCGGGGACGCGTAAGAGGCGCACACCTCGCTGTCGACCCTAGTATGAAGAAATTCATCAAAGCCACCCGGCGAATTCTGTTTCGAACAACCCATAGTCTGACTTTTTCTCGCCTGAAAGCACCATCCGCGACGCTGCTCCCTAGTTGTGATATGACGAAACCAGCTACACCCAACCAATAGATCCCAAATTCACTTGAAGCTCGGACATGTATCCCTGTTGACGGAAAGTGCTATACAATTCGACAAATTGTTAGGCCTCAGGTAGGAGTACATCTGCTTCGGTCAATAAGCCTAGTGGGCTCCTTAACCTGAAATGGTAGTCGAAGCGAGGAATGCCTGGAATATGCGAACAATAATACGTGCGAGAGGCCATAAAAGACCCAATGGTGAGTGAAACTTTTAGTGATAAAAACGACTCGCCCATCTCTATACACCAACTAAACACTGCATAATTCAGCCGGCCACCCTTTATTGCTCAGTTGGATTTCCGACACTTAACGTAGCGGTGGACAGTGAACTTGGAACCTCTGGCAACTTCGGAAATAAGTGAATACTCTTTATCCACTGAGCGCCGATCGCTTAACTGCCATCGGTTCTGTTCAAGGTTGGAGGTAAAATCTTCACTCACTGCATGTGCAACCTATTTGCCCGTATCTGTCCCAGTCAACTGGGATGAGCGATTTCAAAAAATAGTGCTCATACTGAGTGCGGCGATCATGGAAGAAATTAGTGTGATCTCCGTTGTAACCAGACTCCTTGCACCGTTCATCTTCCGTCATCTTACGGGAACGCGTGAAGATGTCACCGAAGAACAACAAGTGAGATTTCGGCAAGAAGGGGTTGTGTGAACCACATCTTCACACTCAGTTGAAGGTAGCGGCATGTTTACAGGTTCCCTACATTCTTCATGTTCTTGCGTTCAAGGACCCGTCCAAACTTATAGGCCGATACGTTCTCCACCGACTTATGCAACAATGCATGCTCCGGGTGTTCGTGAATATCATGCGTTGTTTGTATCCCCATACTTGATCTGTGAATGTGTATGTAGTGCTTTTTTTTGAACTTCTACACAAGTAGTATTTTCCGACGAGGATGCCCACTCTGTTCATTACTGGGACGAAATCTGGAGGTTCCCCAAAATCATAGCGTTCCGATAACTACAAATCGACCGTGAACCCAGTTGGACCACGTGGCCATCAGTCACCGGTGGAGAGCCACAATTCAAGACTGCCGTTCCTTCTGGGGCACACCACTTGATTCCGATCACGCCATGGTGCGCGCACGCCTGACAGTTCGTTTCCCTTCA